CTACTTGATAGGTTTATTTGGACGTCCAAAAACGGAAGCCAGTTTTCTCTCGGTTTCTCCCGGGTGAACTTCTTTTTTTTTGACTGCTCGTTCAATAATTCAAAGCATTTGTCCATCTCCTCCTGCGTAGAGAAGACGAAAAAACAATCATCTACATATCTGCAGTAGAGTAGTGGCCGGAGATCGAGAACAGGGGCTTCTATCTTAGACATAAACACAATGGCCAGGCTTGGTGCCAATCGCTGTCCCATTGCCAATCCCCTTATTTGCGCGAAATATTTCCCAGACCATCTGAAAATCGAGCAGTTTAGGCACTCCTTTGAGAGAGCCATTAGCTGCTTGATGGACAAGCCATGCATTTTTATTCTTCCTTCATGTTCAACAAGAAGTTCGAAGATGGCTTGCATTGCGGAGTCATTCGATACGTTGGTGTACAGTGCGGTAACGTCGAAAGACTCCATCACGTACGCGTTATTAAGAGACGCGTTACGTAGACGTTCTAGACGTTTCCTTTTTTTGTCGTCAATGTTAATATCGTTATAGAATGGTGATTTCTTTGTTGTGAAATTTTGTACAGCTTACGAAGACTCTTTATGTACTGAGTAGGGACACCTGACTATCAAGGGCTTCCATGACTGCTTTTATCTCAATTGAATCAAGGGCGTTCTGTAAATTGATGGAAGTGATGCAGAGCGATCTTTTGTACTCTCGCCATACTTCAATGAGTCCTGTTACCGTGTGGATGTGGTCCATCGTACAAAATCCTTTTCGAAACCCTGCTTGCTCACATGGTTGACCTTCGTCCAGTGTGCTCTCAATCCTGTTTAGGACGACTTAAGCGAAATGTTTGTAGACGACGGACAACAAACACATTAAGCGATAAATACTGATATAGTGTGGGTCAACCTTGAACAATAACACGGTCTTGCTGATCTTCCACTGAGTAGGGCCTTGCACTCAGGAAGGTAACGTGTGAAGAGCCAAGCCAGTGTGTTCACGAGGGCTGGCGGAAGGTTATACAGGTGTTCAGATCTTATCATATACGGACTTGGTCCTGTTCGATTGTTCACCGCCAAAATGGCATGTCGGATTTCGAAAAGGAGAATCGGTGGTACAACATATCCATTCACCTTTATTTCATATGACGGAAGATGGACGCGGCTATCGAAGTTCCGAGCAGTATTCATGAGTGATTTTCTCCATTGCCTTTCTGGACGCTGTAACTGTTCCGTCTGGGCACCGGAGAGCAATCATTTTGGTTTTGTAATTGGAGAAGCTTCGGTTGGCTTTGCGAATGCTTTTCCCAGCCTCTGCAGCTTCAACGATTACTGCTGTTCTTCTCTCTTTAAGATCTTCTTTTATCGCCTGTCTGCACTGCTTTGAAGCTGAGACGTGTGAATTACCCAACAGGCGGTTGACGAATTACAACGTTAGTTCGCGGTTGCCTTCAGCTCGTGCGATTCCACGCTGGCGTATTAACTCCAGTGTTTCTGGAGATAGACGTCTCTTGGTGACTTTCGAACTCTCAACTTTCATAGCGCTAACGTGAAGATGTTGCATGAGCCGATCGTATTCTTCGTCGATGTTATCGACAACGGCATCTTCCTAACAACGAGCTAATGAATTTAATAAGTCCCAGTTTACGGTGGTTCTGTAACCTCGGTTTTTGAATTTAGCGGCTTTTTCTCTTTTCTGCGAGAAATAGAATCTTGCACGAAGGAGGCGTTGGTCTGATCCCATGAAGAATTTTGGGAGAGCAGCGACATCGGTTAGGCAAAACATTCTATTTCCTATGATGTGGTCTATTTCGTTATGGTACTCTCCATTGGGAGAATCCCACGTCCAGCGTTGAGGGTGGGACTTCTGGAATTGCGAGTTATCACGGATGGTCTTCGCCGCCATGAAAAACTTAGATACCTGCTAACCCTGTTCGTTGCATTCTAATCCGTGGGTCCCAATGTGACGTTCCCAACCTACTCTGCCATAAAAAGAGTAGGCAATAAATAATAAGTTTAAAATGTGATTATAACTACAGCTCCAGCTTAACTGGGTTCATTGCCGATTTGTGCTCCCCAGATCAATCGCGCTGACGGTTAACTGCGCATGGCACTGATCAAAAGAACTAACTAAGGGACATGAGAAACAATAGACCCGTACCCGTATGGTGTGGTGGTGAACGCGTTAGCCCTAGAAAGGGTAATAGTTTTGCAAACATCTCAGCATCAAAGTTGCAAAAGAATGTTGCAAGAAATTCCAAAATCAAACCACATTTCCAACTATCAGCAGAACAGGAAGAACTTCAATTTATTTCAAGTGATGAATAACATCAAGAGCTATTAACATTTATCCGATCGCAATCAAGTGTGCAATTTTAGATACACGCGAAAATCAATAAAACTACTCGTTGATTCCGTGGCTTAATTTTTCTAACTATCTATATAGATCTAAAGAAAGGCTTCATTCGTATATGAAAGCCACATTAGAAGTCTCTAAACATCTATTTCGTTCTAAAGAAAGGTTCCAATTATCTATGTGAATTAGCCCTAGAAGACTACAAGTTCGATGGCACATTCCTCACAGCGTCGTCGATTGCCTTTGCCACATAGTCGACGTTCGTCATATTCAATCCACATACGTTGATACGACCGTCTTTTAGCAGAAACACTTTGTGTTTCTTGACGAGACAATCAACTTGAGCAGCTAGAACCAAATTTTTTTGCTAGGTTCTCTTTTTGGAGCGTAGAAAAAGTTATCACTTTAGACTCATTTCCTACTACCGAGTAGTGAAAACGAAGACAAAATCGGGTATCAATTTCAATGAATGGTGTGCCACGTTTTCACCGTTCATGCACTGGTTTTGACCAATGCATTATTAAAAGTATGAAAAAAGTATAGAAGTTACCATTAAGGCCAGTGTAGCTGAACATTCCGATTTGCTGCGTGATGTGAGCCCATGTACCCGGAGTCTTCAGCGCCTCCAAGTGACCTCTGAGCGCGGCTCGCATTTCTTTTATTCGTGATGACATAGTCTGTAAGTGAACACGAAATAAATCTTTGGTTGAGTAAGAAGACGTTAGTCGAGCATAGTTCAAAGGGCCACGTCTGTATGGAAAAATATGACCAGTTTATGGCTAAAACTTTCCAATCGAGAAAAAGAAAAAAAAGACAAAAACAAACTTGAATGGCATCGTCCCACTGCTTTCGCATCTCTGGTGTAGTCAGCACTTTGTGGACAATCCGGGCACCATGAACCGGTGGATTAGACCTTTAAACGGAAAACAATTCAACATGGTTAAAACATTGCTGAGAATCAGGACCGGTAAGATAAAAACCAGTCTGAATTTACAAAAATTCTGTTTTTTGATATCGTCAAGAAAAAACAGAAAAATTGCAATAATGTGTATTACGAAGAATGCCAGGTACTTCTAGGCGATTTCTTGCCCTGAAAAAAATTGAACGAATTACCAATTTGCTCTAATGACCAGCGACATTTGAGACTTGTATCCAGCTAAAACGGCAGGGTCGCTCACAACCAGGCAAAGATTACCAACACGTTCATCTGAAACAATTCTTTTAAGGGATAACATAAAAAACAAACGAACTTTCAACGTGGGAAATTTCCTCTAGCGATAAATAGCCAAATGCCAATCTGCCACTCACGACTAACTTGGTTGAACAGGAATATCATGTTCTCCTGATTCCTCACTCTACTTGCTCAATAGGTTGCATATTGCCTTAGCCATGAGTGACTTTTACTTTTTACAATTATGTTGTTGTTTTTAGTTGTATAACAAAGTTCAACTAACCAAGTTTGAGTAAAATCAACCCAAAAATATCGGATCCATATAACAACACATAACACGCACAGATCAGAGCACTTTTAATACACAACTGATTTTGAACCCGTTGATAACGATAATCAAGCTCATAAATTATTTATTTCAGGTTTCTTCAGTCGTTCTAGAACTTGAATACTTTACAGAACGCACAAAAAAATTTTTTGAACGAAAAGGTAAAGGATAAAGAGTCCGATATCGATCAATGCGTGAGGGATGCACCATGCATACGACAACATTAAAACGTTCACGACAACATTACCTATATGGTTAGTGTGATGCGAAAATAATGGTCACTTTGAACTTTAAATCAATACGCATCACTTCAATGTAAATTTTATTAATTGTAATCAAAATGTTAGAATCTATATTTGATACAAAACCAAGCTGTCTTGTTTCCTCCCGACGAAATTCTGATTTTCTGGAGTCTACTACATATATTTTCTAACTTCACTTCTTCAAAGCCCATATTTTGAAAGCGAAGGCGAATGTACAAGGAGGATTTCGTCCAAAATGACGTGATGAATGTCTCCCAATGTATCGTTTATTCTTGAAACTGCCGCTCTTGTATTCGGAATTTTTAAAACTTAAATCTTCTTATCAACTCCTTGAAAACTTAAATTCTGGATATATTTAAATTTGAAAAAAACTGTATAAAAGATGCACATGTGATTAACGCGGTCGAACCAGGTCTCTTTTACGAATCTATAAGGTTATAAACTTCTGCAGTAAATTATTGTTCAAGAAATTATCATCAGTTCTCGAAAAACCAGTTTCGTCTCGAAAGTAACTCTTTTCACAACTGCGACCATTTTTGGGTCTTGGGCTCGTCGGACCGTGTGTCATTACTGCGCAATAGGAATGCGCATTGAAATCAAGATGGCCTGAAACATACACTGGCGTAAGTATTGAAATCAACGTGTCTGGTCCTGAAAGGGTTAAGGAGTGCTAAACACTCTAACCATAAGATGGCAAGAATTATAAAATGTAATGAACGGATGATTACTATTCTTGACGAACGTTTCAAGAAATTGGTCATTTGAAACCTGCAAAAGTTTTAACGTATTATAGTTTAACTTCGCTGCGTTAGGTGACATCTCTGCAAATGAAACGTACTGTACAATCCAAAGTTCTTGGCAAACGACTGCGCTATGAACATCTCCATTCCTTGCTCAACAAAATAACGGACTGCCCATGCATCAGCGTCTGGATTTCCAGAGGCAAATCCTTGATAGGCGATGTCAAAGAAGGTGAAAAGATTGCGATGCTAAAACGGTGAGCTAGCGTGTTTATCAACTGATAGCTTCTTACAATGCATATGATTTCCTTTTAAAGTAGAGAAAACATAATCAACGGAGTTATGGCAGTGCTCTCGTAGGTAGCTGAACTATGATTTCCCCACTCATAAAAAGTAAGAACTTCACCATGGCTCCCTTTCATGCACATTGGCTAATCCGTTATTTGTATGCAATAGTGACACATTGGTCCTTCGAAAACAAAATTTATTTCAATTTTGGCCTTTAACTAGTTTATGAAGGAAGGCTATCGGTGTACCCAACCAGTATGTAAAAAGTCGTTTGTCCATCTATAAGTTTTAGCCATGCTCATCTATCAAACAAACAAGTAAAGACATGCCGCGATTCGTCGTAGACGAAATATAGACGCAATGCGTTGGATTTTCTTTCAAAAGCCAAGGATTCTCGATTGCCTATGACTGCAACCTAGAAGCGCAATGTCACTTATCTCAGATTCCGGAGGAAAAAATCCTTTACCCAACGAACAAAGTTCTATTTTAATCCTACGTTCTACCTGTTGATGGGCGACAACTAATGTACACCGGACGTGTTACCGCTTTGTACCCAGTCTTCATTTAGGACGATTCCTGGAAAGTGTTTATCGTGCGCCTGATGCCAGGTGGAAATAGCGATATTATTGATATGGATAACCGTGCCACAGCAACACCAATATCACCATATGAGGGGGTAATGAATCGAGAAAGATAATCGCTTTCTCAACAGCCAAGGGATTCTCAGCGAACACAACTTGCAAGACAGATCTCAAACTAATCTACGAATCGAACTCAAGCAAAATTGATCAAGAGCTTTCAAATGAAAGAGGTGTAGGCTAAAATTTCGGAACTCACTCAAACTGGGAGCTCAAAAACTCCGGACAAATGGGAGCTATGTAGGTCGAAGGAATACCAAAGAGATCATCGTTATGGAACCAGCTCCATTAGTCTTCTTAGCAAAAGAAAACAATTCTTTTCTTCATTAAATTACGACACATGATGTAAGATCAACTCTCGAAAAGCAACCATGTTCCGCTCAATATTAGGACAATTATACAATAATGCAATATGCTTTGAAGTTAAAGATGCATCAAGAAGAATGTGGTTGTGAATGATTGATGTTTGGCAAGACGACATCAAGCACTGTAACTTGTTTAGGCTCGGTGAAATCCTTACAACAGAAACGTATAACCAAGAACTTAGGATAATTAATCAAGAATTGCAACATCTTCAGTCAGTATTAATGAACTGGTTCCGATTCTGTTCAACCTGGATCGAAAAGTATGAAAAAAACAGCATGAGACACTCTACCACATCAGAATTAGTGACCGTATGTTTACTTCCTGGAAAAATTACCAACAAGGAAACGGCGTTTGAAAACGCTGTCAGAAGTTTATTGCACTCCAGAACAAAATAATTTTATAGTGGTGGATTAAAACAAATTTATACCTTATAAGCAAAATGTATGCGAGTGTGTTCCAGATGCTTTATGGTGAAGACATGGTAACCAATTTTGGGATAAACGAATGAAATAACACCGGAAGTAAAAGAGTTAAACTAATGACCAACCTTTACCACTTCACAAATCCGTTTCCACTGCTCCTGTGTAGGATCCATACCCGTCGGATTGTGCGCACAACCGTGTAGAACAACCACAGATCTTTAAAAAGAAGTTGTAATGAAACATTTCACTTATTATATATCCATTTAAATATTTCAATCGTTGTATGTTAAACGTTTCTAGCTAACATGAGTCAATGAGGCTTACGAAGAAACCTTCGGTTAAGATGGACACCTTCGTTTAGGCATTAGGCCTCAACTTTCTCTAAAGGAAACCAACACCAACTCAGATGAAACTAATATGCACTTCACAAAATGATCAATTCCGTAAAATTACAACCAGAGGATGCTATAGAGGCACGTTCCATGGAAGACATCAAGCGCCAAGTACCGCAACACTTCTGTGCTCTTTACTATGTTCTGCATTTACGATAAGCTTCCACCCCTCTCTTATTTCTTCATTCAGTAGCTCACCATTGAATTATTCGTCCTTTTCAGTAAATTGTTAACGCATTTAACGAATTCACTACCTATTGACGAATACGCAGTCTGTGCACTGAATTACCAAGCCCTCCAAAAAGTCCGACATATTAGAAATGAGCCAGAATTTTCAATTGAAAAGATAATACGTCATTTATACTACTCACTTTTCTGGAGCTTTTTCAAGATCTGAAATTATGCTGTCTATATCCACTCTTCTGTTGACCGTATCCCAGTAAGTATAGCCACGAAAATTTTCGAATCCAGCTTTTTTGAATACTAGCTTGTGGTTACCCCTGAAATAGTGGTGTAAGAAAAAATTTGAAACAAACCTTCCAATTAAACACAGCAGTAGTCCTCATTACTTGCCACTACATTCTTGGACAGTAAATCAAATAAAGGATAAGGGTATTGATCAATCTCTAGTCGATGCGCGTTGCATTCGACTTCACCCAGTATCGCTAGAGGTGATGGAATGCACATCTGGCCCATTCGATGGCTTGCGGTGGACTACCGATTTATGTAACCAGTGCTAGTACCCTCCCATACAAGTTTGTACCAATTTTTCGACCCTGGAGAGATGGAAGGCTCAGTGAACCCAGAACGCATAATCGAATCAAGGACGACGTGAATATTGCACGGCACCTTTAACCATTGCGCTACACGCGTCCCAGAATTGTCTTGAACACTAGTTTGTCAAACAACATTCATAATCTGCATCTTTACACGTTAGAGATCTATCAAAAATAATGCAAGCCGCCTCAAAAAAAATCCTTTCAATGTTTTACCGTCCTGTCGTGGCTTCCAGTGTGAAGTGCGATGCACAGTCGGTAACCCATCCACGCTTAGCAATTTAAACTATATGTCCGCCTTCTCATCTAGAAACCCAGACCATAGCCAGGAGTTATAAACGACCTTGAGAAAAGTGCAATGTCTACTCTTGAAGTACAACAGCAAGTGATGGCTTGCGTTGACGATCCAGTAAAACCATGGTATCTCACAACTTCACAGAAAATAAACCGCGTCTACCGTCAAAATACGCGCCCAAAGGAACCTGTGTGGGTGCGTCGTAAGATGAAAACTGACAGCCAATAAACAAGTTTGTAAACTTCATCAGTGGATGATCGCCATCAACCGGTAATGCTTTACATGCAACATAGATCTATCTGCTTTCTTAATGAGCAAACAAGAGATTGTTATTACCATATTTATTCATAATAGCTAAAATTTCGGCAGTTTTCCTTCATCGAGGATTGCAAGGGTCAACCTGACACACTATTTACTCACTCAAACACTTTCGTAATCTAGGTGAAGGAAAATTCGATACATAAATTTAGACTTATCCGTTACACGGATATCAATCGAAGGGTGCATGTAGCGCAGTGATTAGACATGCCCTGCAATAAACACGTTTTGTACGATCTCGTCCCTTAGGCTCACCAAGCCCTCCAACCGCCCGGGCTCGGTGAATTCGTATCATACATCCCTGGAAGGGCAAAAACACTGATTTGATACATCGGCTGGCTACAGGAAGTCATCGTATAGGACGGATATGGATTCAACTACTTCAGTGATTCTTGGTGAGGCTGAACCCATCGCGCATTCCTTAGAGATTGATCAACACCGAAGGCCTTATTCTTTATGGACAGCAGTTCACCAACATTCATCTTTAATTAAAACAGCGTAGGTAAGAAAACCAGCCAAATTATAGCCTTTTGTCTAGAAACGAAAAATATCACTCTCCAGTCTTTTTAAAACTCTTCCTTCTGTTATATAGTAGTATGACACAAGATAAACACTGGAAAGAAACAATAATTTTTATCCCGTACTCGTTTCCGCATATCAGAGTAAATAAATATTACGAGGTCTTACCACGTAGGATTACTTAAGTAAACTGTCTTCAAGCCAAGAACGGAAGCCAGGAATTCAGCTCCCGCTCGGAGAGAACCAGTGCCGGAGAGACACTGCACACCAGTGTACTAAAAAGTAATTGGTCAAAAAACCATTCTATTTACATCATTCTGTGCAGTTTATTTCTTACCCTTCCCTCCTTGATTGCTGGACTATTCTCTCCAAGCACAAGGGTGCAAGCGGCCTTTGTAAAGGGCTCAAAACCCAGAACAGGCAAGTACTCATGGTTCAGAGTATCATCGGCAGCTATCATTTTTTCAGTTTCTCGTACTATTGGCAGAACCCATGGCTTACCCTCTTCGGTGCGATACGCTAAAAACATTCAATCTCGACTACATTTAGGTTTGACTGAATTTGGGTCATCTGTATTTAGATTTCTTAAAGTGCTCAAGGTTTAAAATTCTTTAGCGGAAATGGTCTCCATTAAGCGCCGTCTCGATAGTGGAAGAGAAACTAGGTGTTCACCTATTCCCGACTTTCACTGGGTCGCAACTCTTCATTAATGACATTAGTCGGCGTTAGTTGTCGATTACATGGAGGTTTGCTCGAAGCTCAGACATCGATTATTCCAAGACGGTAGCCATTTCCATGGCTAAGGTGACTGATTCCAGTAGTCATGGATTTTGCCATGGCTATAGGATTTGTGTAAAGCGGCTAGCACAGTGATAGTGATGTTGGTCATCACGAGCATGGCACTAGTTCGATTCAGCTCCGGGCTAAGCAAGCCTTTCATCCCTCCCGGGTCGAAAAATTGGTATCAGACTTGTTTGGGAAAAAACTTCGACTATCTCAGGACTGCAGGGAGAATCGACCTGACCAGCGTTTTACGACATTCACGATGAAATGAAAATCCTCTAAGTAATTTCCGAAGCCACACGTAAAAAGTTGGAAGATCTTAGTCGATAGTGCTGGGATCGACACAGTAGACGTGAAAACGGGTCATATAAAAAAAGTAGGACTTTCTCACCTCACTAATAAGTTGAATGCCACCTGAAAATGGCCTTCTCTAGAACTTAAAGGTAGCAATGTTTGGGCGGCCCAAGGTCTTCACTAAAGACAGATACAAGTCATGGCGAAACAGATTCAGGCTTGCTACCTTCGGTATTGGATTGTTCAAGGTTGGAAACAATTCGCGTGGTGGAAATGAATCATGTTATTCGCGATAGCCTGCGCGAGGATGATGAAGTACGTCGAATACTGCATGAGATATAAATTTGAAAAAAGATCTACATTACCTCCAATAGTGAGGTTCACTTTATTTGGATCCTTTTCATCCATGAACATTTGGTTCATGTAGAAAACTTCAATGGGAGGTGCAACCTCTACTCCCTTGAAATAAGACATCGTTGATTGATGTACACACTGAAATAACAACACTCAAAATTTCAATTTTACGCCTCATTAGAGGCATATAGAGATAAGTTAATCTCAAACAACACATCTTAAACGCGAAAGACCGACTTTCCATAAACCTCGGCATAGATAGTTGATATATTTATTTATGTGACCTTACAAACTGATCTTCTTAAGCTGACGCGAGGTTGGTACAGATCTTAGTTGTTTTTGATGTTATTGATCGATGGCTGACGTTTCGGCGACTTCGCCTTCCTCAGAGCCTGGACGTACTATATGTTAGAATACTTTTTATTATTCGGTGAAAAGAAGGTTAAAGTATTAATGAAGATCAAACTTTCAAATAGACCCCATATTGAACAGAAAGGCCACTCACCGTGATGTTACGTGCGAGACTGGCCCACACGTAGTTCACGTGGAGTCGCGAGCAAGACAGGCCCCAGAGTCAAAATATCATTTTGAAATAGGGCGCCAAGTCACGCGTGATAGTGAGGCATTCGTCTTTCTGGTTCACCTTTGGATTTTTGAAATTTATCCAAAACGCCTCAAGAGTTTTGCGCGTTGATGTTTTTGATTCATGCGCTAGGATCCGCACATTCAGTTCAAAATCATCGCCGTTGTGCTTTTGTGCCCTATGCGTACCTAGAGGGGTGTTTAAACGGATTTTAGCTTTTCCATCTAGATGTTCTTTTATGCGGACACAAAGTGGTCTACCCGTCCCCCCGATATATTCCTCGCCGCATGCATTACGTGAGATCAAGTATATTATACCTAAACTCATGCAATCCCCGTCTCTCCCGTTAGGACAGATCATACAGTTTTCTGAGCTGCACAAACGATCGTAGAGACGGTTTTGAACTAACTGACGGCGTAGGGTATTGGGTGGGATGTCAATAATCGTTACATCCTTCAATGGTCCGTCTTCAATAGGTTGTGCGGGCCCCAGCATAATCTCCATTTTTCGGAGATTAGCTGGTTAAGACATTGTGGTTTTCTGGAATCCCGAGGTCACCCTAACTAAGGTCTGCTCCAGGTCTTCAACACCACAGGCAATCGCAGCCCTTGTGGATCAGAAAAAGATTTGCAACCATGCGACTTTAATACCAGGACGATGATGGATTCTAGTATTGGTTTATTCTTAGCTGGGCTTCCTGATAGAAACGCCGGACTCCTTCTCAGTTTGGGAGGCCCTACAAGGGAAATGAATTTCCCCGCCTTACAAAAGCTTACTTCAAATGGTGGTGATATTACGTCAACGAACCCATCATCATGTAAAGTTAGACCTATCATTAGTTGTATAGGCGGGCCAACGGATAGAATAATGTGGTTCCTAAACCTTATCCTAACCCAGGTGCTGAAATTCATTCCAACCCATCTACCTAACACCAAAATATTTCTGGATCACCTAAGGCGCGCTCAACCAAACAGCACGCATGTAATGGAGTCATTCTATGTTACGCCACTTTATACCAATATAACAAAATGGTATCGCAAGCCAAGTAGTAAAAACATTCTAGTTCACTGCCTCTCCTCTCATCCTTCACACATGGAAGAAGCACTTATCAAAAACATGTATCGTACGGCTAAAAATGTGTGTACAGGAGAAGAGGAAAGGAAGGAATAGCGAAACCTAGCACGAAAAATTGCCATTTCCAATGGCTACGAAGTAGAAGCCACTCGGGTTAGAGAAAAACGCTGGGTAGTTTCCCAAAATAATATTTCAGACGAAAGTAAGATCCCCTTTAAGCTGCCCTTCATATCAAATGAAGTAAGTCACGCCATTAAAAAGGGTTTAAGAAAAAGTGGTCTTGAAAATTATGTAACGATTATTGACACCCCACCCAATACCCTACGCCGTCAGTTAGTTCGAAACCGTCTCTACGATTGTTTGTGCAGCTCAGAAAACTGTATGATCTGTCCTAACGGGGGAGACGGGGATCGCATGAGTTTAGGTATAATATACTTGATCTCATGTAATGCATGCGGCGAGGAATATATCGGGGAAACGGGTAGACCACTTTGTGTCCGCATAAAAGAACATCTAGATGGAAAAGCTAAAACCCGTTTAAACACCCCTCTAGGTACGCATAGGGCACAAATGCACAACGGCGATGATTTTGAAGTGAATGTGCGGATCCTAGCGCAGGAATCAAAAACATCAACACGCAAAACTCTTGAGGCGTTTTGGATAAATTGTGGGCCAGTCCCGCACGTAACATCACGGTGAGTGGCCTTTCTGTTCAATATGGCGTACCAAGTCCTCCATCCCTCCGGGGTTGTCAAATTGATACCAGATTCGTCAGCGAAGGTAGAACCACTGGGTCGATACATCGGTAGGCCACTACAAGTCATTATAAAGGCCAGATATGCATTTAGTCAGCTCTAACGATTCTTAATGAAGTCGAATGCAAGGCGCTTCCCTAAGGGATTGATCAGCGCCGAAAGCTTTATCCTTTCTACTTTTTAATGTATAAATGTTAGACGCATGGAACAAAAACACTAAAAGATTATAAAACCTAAAACCACCTAAATATCCTGTTTCGTTAACGAAGTTAAGCAAATAAATGACCAACAGGACATTAATGGTAAAGCGTTCAACATTTATCTATCCATAAGGGATATATCATGCATTTGGGCGTGGGATCGAACCAATGACCACGTGCGTGGTGTTATAAAAAAAAAAAAAATATATATATATATATATATATATATATCTCACGACCGACTTTCTATTAACCTCGGCATTGATCAAGTAATTCTTCGTATCTTTGTTGAGCAAACGCGAGGTGTTATTATTCTTTATTCACGAATGAGCTGACGTTTCGGCGGATTTCGCCTTCCTCAGAGCCTGGAAAGGTCAAGTTGACAGCAATCTACTTGGCCAAACGCCTCCATAACCAAACAAAGAAACTCTAAACCAAGATTTCAATCACATTGAACACAGCTTTGCACACTCACCGCTTTCTATGAGGTCTCCACTAAGTATGTCACGTAGAGACCAACCGCACAGAAATCACATGGAAGTATAATGTGCCCCACTCATCAGAATAGCAGTCTTATATACTGCCCTACATCACGCGTGATAATGAGGCATTCTTCCCTGCGGTTCATTTTCGGATTTCTGGAATTAATCCAGAGTGCCTCGAGAGTTTTTCGCGCCTGTGTTCTTGATTCGCGTGCGAGTCGCAATACCTCTCCTCTCACCCCTCCCACACGAAAAGGGCGCTTGTAAGAAACATGTCTCGAAGAGCAACCAACGTGTGTACGGGAAGAGAGAAGAGAGGAGTCCCGGAACTTGGCACGGCAAATAGCCATTTCTAATGGCTACGAAACTGTAGCTCAGGAAAGGTGAAGAGGAATTCGTAGGCCTCCAAACGACAACTCTAGCGATAGAAGAGTCCCGTTTATCCTACCCTTCATTTCAAATGATATAAGTACAGCTATAAAACGCTGCTTAAGAAGGGCGGGCTTAGGGAATTCGGTGAGCGTAGTTGAAATACCACCGAGTAATCTTAAGCGCCAGCTAGTTCGTAACCGCTTATATGACCGTCTAT